TTAAATGATGCCTCTCGATCCGATCATCTTCTTCTTTCCTGTAGTTTTCAGCTGTCCCTCCGGCGCTGGTTCCGGTCTCCGATCCAGCGCTGACTCCTCTGTGCTAGCTGGCACTTCCTGTCCCACGGAGTCTGTGCGGGTGCACGCTGCTCCATAGACTTACCTTGTGTCTCTCCTTGTCTCCCGGCCGAAGATTTGAAGTGCGCATGCGCCCGCCCCAAGATCTTCAGATGTTCGGACGGGAGCGCGCGGGAAGACACAGGTAAGTTTTAACCTGTTTGAAAAGTTTTTTTTTTTTTTTATGTTTTTACATATATCTACTGCTTGCTAGCACTATATATACAGTAATACCTTGGTTTACGAGCATAATTCGTTCCGGAAGCATGCTTGTAATCCAAAGCGCTTGTATATCAAAGCGAATTTCCTCATAGGAAATAATGGAAATTCAGATGATTCGTTCCACAACCCAAAAATATTCATATAAAAATGATTACAATACATTACTGTAATATAATACTGTACAAAATATAAAGACAAATAAACCAATTACCGGTACCTTCGTGGCTGGTGTGAGGGGGACAAGAGAGAGGAGGATTATTGTGTAGGACAACTTTCCCTATCACTAACGGAATCACTGATACCTCTTGGCTCAATGGAATCTTTTTCATTTCGTGAAACCTTAACAAGGAATCTATCCAATGTGAAACTGCATTGTCGTTAAACAGACTCATCGCTCGCACTGCTACAGCTTTATTCGGGTGCTTTTCTACAAAATTTTGCTTTTATTGCAAGACATTGCTTGTATATCAAGGCAAACCTTTTCAGAAATGTTTGCTTGTCTTGCAAAACACTCTCAAACCAAGTTACTTGTAAACCAAGGTATTACTGTATATGCAAAAAACGCTGAGGGTTTAATAACGCCTTAACCCTTGCAGTGGGGCTACTCACGGATTGCAAGGGTTAGGTGCTCAATTTGGTCTAGGGTATAAACTTAGAAAGATATACATGCCAAGTAGAGGAAAGGATCAAAAGTGCCCCTGCTGCCCCACTGTCTCTGTTGCCAAGGATTGTGGCCTGCCCCAACACGCTGGAAGTTTGCCTGAGAAGATCAGATACCGTTCCCGGGAACCCAAGAAACCTGCTGTCTATGACCACCATTACCTGTGCCAATCTCTACCGGAGTTTCCTCCTCCTTACACGAATCATCATCCCTCACATCCGCGTCCTCTGCTTCCTCTTCCACCTCAACTTTGACATAAATCAGATTTTTATCCTAAATGGCACAAAATAAACAAGTCTCGTTGGTTATCTCTTAAAGAACAGGAATAGTATCATTGAATACTTCTAGAAAGTGAAGAACATTGAGATGATCGGCTGTAATATTTGAGAAGACTCAGTTTCTTTTACCTGATCATCTTCTGGGGTCTCCTGATGTTCCTCTGAGGAATCCGGGCAATACAGAGGGCTGGAACATCTCTCTAGGGTACTTCTGTCACTGGATCCATCTGTAGGCAACACACACACACTCACTGAATGCTTTGCTTCTAGGGCTTTATATCAGAAGATGAGCTTTTTTTGAGAGGGATCAAGATGGATCTTAAGTACCTTTGCCATGGACACAAAAAAAAAACACTAGACCTGATTACCCAACATCATTGTCAAACCTCATGATCAATGACTTTGTTGCCCTGGCTGAATGAAAGCAAATACCACCAACAATGTCCCATCATGTTCTTCAAACTTTGATAGAACACCGGTTTGTGGTTTTTCCTCGGAAGTTTGTACAAGTCATTCTTCTTCCACTCCCATCTCTGTGACCTACCAGGGGAACTCAGCCTATGTTGTAGACCAAAAAAGGCTCAAACTCAACATTATCTCTTACCCGATGACTTTGGAGACTGATGATCCTCCATGATGACGTCCTTGGAGAGTGTCCTTCTAAAGACTCCTCCGCATGGCCGTGTTAGGAACGATTCTGGTAGGTAAAGCTCCCCTGCAAATAAAAAAAAACTTGAAAATCACTTATACAAAACATTATAAGCCATTGGTATGCAGGTTACTATCTTCTTAAGGACCAGAGGACCTTCCTGCTGAACAGAATGGATAGAACGATGGCAGTGGGAGGAGATGTAATCCGTAACATGTGCACAGTGGAAAGAACGGCAAAGACGAGGCAAATGAGTATCTCCAGCTGTAGATAGAACACACAAGGGGTAAAACCTCTGTTGCAGTTCAATGTACAGTCCTGGTCCACTCCTGGGATCTGAAAGATGGAGCCTGGGTGCCAAGGTAATGTAACTCCAGCTTTACATCATCAGTGCCTGCCCAAGAAGATGGCGGACCCGGAAGAAGAGGAAAAAAACATGAAAGCGGCCATGTTTCTAACCATTCCCTATTCCGTCCAAATAAAGTTGGCTGGAGACGTCTGATGTTGTGGGGCAATAAGCCCGTTCCTGCCCCGGGGACACTGAGAGGGTCCTGTTCCTTTTTTTTTTGTTAACTAGCCATTTCTGTGACCCGGAAACGCACGTTTGTAAGAATATTGGATACGATCCTACAAGATAATTCATTAAAACCGTAATCGAGGTATCTCTGCGTCATTTAGAAAAAATACAAATACTTTGACTATAAACAAGATTTCCCGTAAGCTGCGTCCCCTCTGAAGCCTCTCTGATGTACTTTATCACATGACGCAATCAATGATATATGAACCCTATGGCGGTTTTCTACCACCGGACCTCCTTTCTATACGCTGGATTCTATTCTTCCTCGATAGTCGTAATTCTGGAGAATACGTCCCCAGTGCCGTCATCCCTGTCCCCAGCAGAGCTTTACACATCAGAGGACTTGCTAGAAGATGATGATTTGAGATGAAATGATTCCCCCACCCACCCATCCTGTCCCCAGTTCTGGGACCCCCTTCTCTGTCATAATAAGAAGACATTATTACCTCCTCCTTACTAGGCACACACTCTCCAGCCTCATTACCCCTCCATTAGGAGGATTCTGACATTGCTAGAACTCCTCCCTCTCATCTGGGCTACAACAAAATGGCCATCCACTGGCCTCCTCTAAGGACAACGAATATTAATTCAAGACATGCTATTTTCTGCAGTGCAGTGCTTTATAAGAATAAATAAAGATTGGCGTTGAAAAATATATCTGTAAATGAATCATAAACTCAATAATAGATGGACTACAAGAAAATGGCGACCTCTCTCCCAGGGAGAAATGTTCAGTTTGGCCCTCTAGCGGTTGCTGAGAGCAGCTCAGCGTGCGGGGTTTTCCTTATAAGGCAGTGACAGATCCCTCAGCTCTGTCACTTCTGGGCTCGTTTTCGGCTGTCCAGGTGTGCCTGGTTGCTATGGTGAAGGGCGCACGCAGAGGGAATAAGGAGTCAGTCAAGGAGGTCGCCCGCCATCTTGTGGAAATGTTGGAAAACTGACAGGAATTTCTGAAGCGTGGCGGCCATTTTCTTGTAGCCCAAATGGAGAATTCCCCCCATTCCCTAACAAACACACAGGTTTTTACACAGCTGTTACTGGGGGTGTGAGGCTGGAGAGTGTGTGCCCAGTGAGGAGAATGAGGTAATAATGTCTTCTTATTATGAGAGGAGGAAGAGAGAAGGGGGTCCCAGCACTCTCTATGGACTGGATGGGGGAGGGGATCATGTCACCTCAACAAACCATTTTCCAACTGTCCCCTGGCTGACAGGAAGATTACATTACATTGTCTTTCGTGTAAGATGCTTTTTGTTATAGTTGGGTTGCCTGGCTGCACTCGCGCCGCCACAACCGTATAAAGGA